CCCTCTGTCCTCCCTCCCGCACCGTCTCCCCATCCCCCCCTCCCAGACCGTCTCCCCATCCCCCTCTCCCACACCGTCTCCCCATTCCCCTCTCCTGGACCGTCTCCTCATCCCCAGTCTCCTGGGAAGTCTCCCCATCCTGCCCTCTTGGACGGTCTCCCCATTCCCCTCTCCTAGATTGTCTCCCCATCCCCCCCTCTCCTGGACGTCTCCCCACCCCCCCTCTCCTGGACCGTCTCCCCATCCCCCCTCCTGGGAAGTTTCCCTCCAGGACTCCCTTGAGTGCAGCTGTCTGTGTACATTGACAACTTCTTACCATAGATATCCATACCTGTTCACAAGACCTGGATCTCTTACAGCCAATCTAGGCCTCTTCCCACCCCCACACTCTTGATCATGTAATCTATTTGCAATGGAAGCACCTTCCTTGGAAATTTTCACAGTTAAAGCCTAAGAGGGGCTGGGAAGGTGGCTCAGTGGTAGAGCACCTGCCTTGCATGCCTGAGGCCCTGGGTTTGATTCCTCAGCACCACATAAGTAGAAAAAGCCGGAAGTGGTGCTATGGCTCAAGTGGTAGAGCGCTAGCCTTGAGCTGAGGAACAGCGTCCAGGCCCCATGACCTACAAAAATATATTTTTTAAGACAGACAGGTGTGTGCTAAAGCACACAGGAATGCTGCACGTCTGCCTGGTACAGTCTGTGTGCTCACGCAACCTTATTAACACTTGAAAACTCCAAAATCTGAAGCTTCTGGCCCCACACATTTAAAAATCACTGCCCCATGTTCCCTCTCGTCCACAGGAAGCGTTTCTCTGTGGGTCTGTCTAAGATCCTGGAAGCAACCTCACTAGTTAAAGATATGCAGGAGGAACTCTTGATTATTGGCCCTCAAATAGAGCAAAAAACAAAGGTATGTTTTATTTGAAATTGTTCTTGAAGACCGACCCAGTGTTAGAAAGCAAAGGCTCTGACAAAAGTGAGTTCAAATTCCAGGGTAGCTGTGCAGCTACCCTGTGCAGCTGGTCTCAATTCTCCTTATCTGTAAAATGAGGGAAGAAACTGGAGGCACGGCTTGAGTACAGAAAGAACACGGAGGCCTCAAATTCAAGCCCAGGTGCCAGAGAAAAGACAAGAAAAGGAGGGCAAAACAGCAACAAGAACAGAAAATAGTAACATGATTACACTTAATCATTTAAAGTGACATAAGGAATCTCAGTGAAGGCTATTGGTCAACGGGGACTTGGGAGATAGAAAGACATAGAGACAGTTATTCAAAGCAAAATATAGAATGTGTATCTGAAAATGGAAAAAAAAAAAAAACCTTGGTGCACTTTAAAAAAAAGAATGATAGGGAAGTAACATGGGTCCTGGGTGGGAAGCGGCGTCAGCAGGAGGAGGAGGGCGACGGGTGAATAAGCATGAATACATTCAGCACGTGTATGTTATAAATGCAGGTGGTCCACGCGCAATCCATCTGAACTGTGATGTGAGCGCCGCCGCCTGCCCGGTACCCCAGAGGGCACAGTGTGCCCCCTGCCCGTGGGTGGGGCTGCGAAGGGGCTGGGCCCAGGGAGTGAGCTCCTCCCAGCCTTGTGTTCATTCAAATTAATCTCTTAAAAACTTAATACATGCTGGTTGTGATAAATGGTATAGTAATAAAGCAAGCTATTTGAATCTCTCATGTCTCTAAATTCCTCCTAATAACCATTTGGTTGACTAGGAAACAGAAACCCTAATGGAAAAACTACAGAAAGACTCACAAGTAGTTGAAAAAGTTCAGATGCTTGTTAAACAGGATGAAGAGATTATGTCCGAAGAAGTAAGGATTGTGGAAGATTACGCTCAGGTAAGACCCTCCAAGAGCCTCCAGGTGTAAAAGGGTGGACTGTCCTTAGTGCCCAGGGCCCAGCCAGAGATGCTCTCTACATATATATGTATCTCTCTCTATCTGTCTGTCGACACACACACACACAAGACAGGAGGGACCGCTCCATTCCAATCTCTGGTGAGACTGGAGTGGAGCCCTGTGGGCTCCTGATGAGCAAGTCAAGGCAGGGAGTGGAGCGTGGCCAGGTGAACGGTGAACGGTGGAGGTGGCAGGTCCCAGCAGCCTGGAGCGGCTCGCGTCTTGCAGATGCTTCTCCTAAGGGCTGGGTGAGTCTGGTGGAACACAAAAAGCCTCCAAAGCTGACATCTTTTCTCCCTACCTTCCACCTAATAGTGTCTTGTGTATGGTGAGGACTCAGTAAGCATCTGCTAGGGTAGAGAGCATCTCTGGCTATTTCCCAACATGTGTGTAACTACCAATCACACACACACACACGTGCTACTGTCATGGGCTGAAATTACAAAGCATAAGACAGATGAGGTTTTGTGTAAGCCGCAGTGAATGTGAAACCATCCCATCACTCTGGTCATCGGAGGTGATTTGGTGTCTTCTTGTCAGACATGAAGCAGTCAGCCCATCCCACTCTTGGCAGTACTTTCAGTCCAAATTGCTTTTCAGAAATCTTTTTAGCTACCTGCCATTTTTGATAGTTTGGAAATTTCTTTCAGCATTCTAATTCACTATTGCCAATGCTGCCTTCCTTTTGAGAACTGTTATCAGAAGGTATTAGCAGCAACAGCCTTTCCAGGCTTTTTTTTTTGGGGGGGGGGTCCGGTCGTGGGGCCTGAACTCTGGGCCTGGGCGCTGTCCCTCAGCTCTTCAGCTCAAGGCTAGCACTCTACCACTTGAGCCACAGCGCCACCTCCAGCTTTTCTTTTTGCTTATGTGGTGCTGAGGAATCGAACCCAGGGCCTCAGGCATGCAAGGCAAGCGCTCTACCACTGAGCCACCTTCCCAGCCCCTCCAGGCTTTTGTAGAGTGATGAATTTTAAATATTGTTTAAATTGATTATTAGCCAGCTTTGGATCATTCTCATTACAGAGATATATTCCAATAGTTATGTTATTTTTGGTAATGTTACTATTTATCATAAACTCACCAAGAAATAAAAAATGTTCCCAATAAAATCATATGATTTCCATGTTGCTGGGAATCAAGTCCAGGGCCTCGGGCTTCCTGGGCATTTGGCTAAGCTACACCTAGACCTTGGGCTTCCTGGGCATTTGGCTAAGCTACACCTAGACCTTGGGCTTCCTGGGCATTGGCTAAGCTACACCTAGACCTTGGGCTTCCTGGGCATTTGGCTAAGCTACGCCTAGAGCCCCTGGCTTTTGAAGACAGAGTCTCCCTATGTAACCCTCCTGCCTTTGTCTCCCAAGTGCCAAGACTACAGGTGTGTGCCACCATATCTGCCTTAATCACATGATTCAATCTTGATTGCCTGATTAAACAAACCACTGTCAACTTCATCCTAAATTTATTTTTCCTTAATAAATTACTGATTTGGGTATGGTATGAAATTCTTTATCACTGTTTGCTCCTCGGTATCAGGATAATGGCTAGTGATTTTATCAGACATTTACTTTTAGTTAATTTTCCACAAATTTTTGTCTTTAATATATACTTGTAAATAAAATGTAAGATCATGCAATAAGGTGCTTTTTACAGTTCTGTGTGGAAATCTGTACTCTCTCCCTGATTTTGTTGGAACATTCCAATACATCATTCCAAATGCAACAATTGTTACTCAAAACCTAGAAACAGCTGGGTGCTGGTGGCTCATGCCTGTAATCCTAGCTACTCAGGAGGCTGAGGTCTGAGGATCGCGGTTCAAAGCCAGCCCGGGCAAGAAAGTCCGTGAGACTCTTATCTCCAATAAAACACTCAGAAAACCAGAAGTGGCGCTGTAGCCCAAGCGATAGAGCGCTCGCCTTGAGCTGAAGAGCTAAGGGACAGCACCCAGGCCCAGAGTTCAAGCCCCACAGCCAACAAAACAACAACAACAAAAAACCTAGAAATTCTGACTAATTCTGTTCTATACAACTTCCTTTAAAAAAAAAGTGGATCATACATTTAAGTGAAAATCAAACTCTCCCCTTACAGTTTTATGCTTCTAATAAATAGAGTTTTCACTGAGCTCACAAGGTGCAAAACACTGCCCACAGTCTTGAGGCGCTAGGACCGGTGGGCCAGGCGACTCGGGCTCGATACATTACTGTCACGTGGTCAGGAAAAGTGGAACAGTAGACAAAAGAAGTTTCTGAAAACCATTCCTATTGCAGATGACTTACACTGTGAAGTCCCTATTAACAGTATACATATTATTTCCACCTTACCTCCCCATAACTCCAGTGCCTCCTGCCTGCTCAGAGGGGCAGAGACCTGAGTGTGTTAAACACCTCACTTGGCAGGTTTCAGAGGCATGGACAGAGTTCATGAGCTGCACCATTCTTCAAATGGACATCCAAATGGAACCCTAAGTCTGAATGAGAAAGCTGTGTGTTTTCTCTTCCACAGACTGCATAACTCTACACATAGGGCTGTGGCGTGTTTCCAGAAGAGGAAACATGGGTGCATGTATGTAAATCACACGGATGCAGAACTTCGTGCATTGTAAAATGTCCAGTTCAACACATAAAAGTTTAAATGGGCAACTATATTCAGTCATACGTGTTTGGGGCTTACTCTTTTATTGCAGAAAACTGCCAATGAGCTAAGAAGTGTGATGCCAATCTTAGAAAAGGCTGTTGAGGCTCTAAATTCGTTGGATAAAGTTGATGTTGCTGAGTTAAGGTAAGTAGGTAACCTATTTCTTTTGAGATGGAAAAACAGAATAAAACATAGATCCAAGCTGGGTGCTGGTGGCTCACACCTGCCATCCTAGCTACTAAGGAGGCTGAGGTGTGAGGATCGTGGTTCAAAGTCAGCCCATGAGACTCTTATCTCCAGTTAACCACCAAAAAAATGGAAGTGGCTCAAGTGGTAGAGTACAGCCTTGAGCAAGCGTCCAGGGACAGCATCCAGGCCCCAAGTTCAAGCTACAGGATCAGCACACACACACACACACACACACACACACACACACACACACACAGATCTAGGTTAAATATTATAAAATATTCCAATTTGCATTTATTTTTACCCATTTGGCTGTGTTTCATTACATCTGGCACATTTGGTAGGTTACTCATTTTATGATACCATCAATTGTAAGGTATACCAGGATTTTAAGGAGAAAAGAACGCTGTCCATTAGCTGCGCAATGTCATTTCCTACACTGACTCCTAGTCCCTGAGGTGTGAAAGTCTCCATCTCCAGCTGGTAGTATTGCTGAGCTGCAGTTCCAACCAAGAGCACCATGTGTGCACCATGTGGGCGCAGGGCTGTGGATGGAGGGCAGGGCACACACCGAAGCACCTCCACCTTATGCGCCCTCCCAGAGGGAGGGAGAGGGGCTAAAGACAGTGCATGAGAAAGGACTGGAAGCCATGAAACACTTCAGGGCTCAAAGGCTGGGTCCTGTTAGTTCAAATTTGAACTAGAGATTTTCTTAGGTTTATTAGCACAAATTATTATACAAGGAGGCTTCATTGTAATATTTCCAACACGTCTATTATTTACTTTGACCAAATTCACCCCATCTGTATTACTTCACATCGGTTTTAAACGTTTGCCGTACCGTTTTCACACATGTGCACGAGTGTGCTTTTGTAATTTTTATCTCACACACCCTCTTCTTTCCTTTGCCCTTCGCTCACAATCTCCCTTTTGCGGGTGAAAAATGTGAGATTTGTCTTTCTGAACTTGATTTACTAATTTCACATACCATGATGATCTCCAAATGCATCCATTTTCCTGAAAATGCTGCAGTTCCATTTTACTATTTAGCAAATAATACTTTGCTGTGTACAACTTCATTTTCTTTCTCCAAGCATTGGTTGGTACCTAGGCTGGTTTTGTATCTTGGCTGATGTGAATAGTGCTGCTATAAACATGGTGTGTGTCTTGTGTGCTGATTCATACGGACACATGCCAGGGCTGGTGCAGCAGGTTGGGGGGTAGTCCTCATCTTAGCTCCGCACGGTCATGGGGCCGCCTCCACGGAGCTGCATGTCGACGTTCCTGTCTGTCGCAGGGTGTACACACGCCCACCCTTCCTCGTACTAACTGTCATGAATGCAGTGTGCATCCTGCTTCAGAAGAAGCCCAACTGGGCCACAGCAAAGCTGCTGCTCTCAGAGACTGGTTTCCTGAGGAGACTGACTAACCTGGACAAGGACAGCATTCCTGATAAGGTAAAGAATTCTCCCGAGATGAGTACAAGATTGATGCTTTCCGTAGTTCTAATCTATGAAGCCAAATAGACACAGTGGAATTAAAATTCCAGATTGTGATTTTTTTAAGTTATAAAACAAATTTTAGCACACACACACACACACACACACACACACACACACGGAAGAAAGTAGTTAGAGATAAACAACCAGAGAGCAAGTTGCAGAAGAAACTGCTTGGAAATGTCCAGCAAAGCAGCCGATGCCTGAAACGGGAGGACAGACGTCTCTGCGTCTCCTAGCATACCGAGGATCCGCGTGGGGTAGCGTTGTAGAGAGGACCTCTTGGCCGGATGTGGTATGCTATGAGCATACAATGATTACATAAAGTTGCTGGCATCAGTGGCTCACACCTGTAAGATCCTCAGGAAGCTAAGATCTGTGGATCATAGTTCGAAGCTAGCCCAGGCCCGCAAATCCCTGAGACTCTTCTCTCCAACTAACCACCCATAAAAAGCAAAAGTGGAGCTGTGGCTTAAGTGGTAGCGCATCAATCCCAAGTGAAAAGCTAAAGGAGACTACCTAGACTCTGAGTTTAAGCCATATTAAAAGCAAAGGAGATAAAGGGGCGGGGGGAGGAAAGAAGGGGGAGGGAGAGAAGGAGGAAGAAAAAAAGCAAGCAATACTTCACGTGAATAAGAACACCCCCGTACACAAGTTACACCCCTTTTTTGGAAGGTGGCTCTCCCCCCAACTCCTGTAGCCCGTATATAGCACCTCCTTCTGAGAACTGACTCCCCAAAAAGTCCCATATCCACATAATGTGACCGCCCCCTAAAATCTTGTTTGAATTTCACCCATCTGTCCACTACTGCCCTCTCCATTCCAACTTAGAGCGTCTGGCAGGTCTGTCCCCCATAAAGCCTTGGGCCTGTAAAAAGAAGAAAGAGAGAAAAGAACACACCAGTAAAAAGCTGAGAGTGCGTCGCCTACCCTCTGACTTCCTAGTAAAATCATTCTTCCAGGCAGGAGGGGGTAAGGAGGCCTGCGAAGAGCCTCATTGCAATGTGACCCCCACGGGTGGACGGAGTTCCAGATGTCTCGCTGTGGGCTGCTGTGAAGCCAGGGCATGTGGCGCAGCGTGGCCAGGCCTCCCAGGGCCCTGGGGCGCAGGGCTCTGCGAGCCAGAGGGGTGGGGGAGCAGAATGCTGTCCCCTCCCAAGGAGACCCAGTCAGGACGCCAGGCCTCCCTGCACAGATTTCCCGTGCTGGGGCTCCTTCAGGGAGTCCTCAGAAGAGCCCCCTGGCAGGCCGGCCCCAGCCGCCGGCCCCAGCCGCCCGGCCCGGCTCTTCCTGCTCTGGAGCGTCTTTGACTTAGCTGTTGAAAAGTAAAACGCCATTGTCATGCGCATTAGAGAAAACTCCAGATGAACATGTTTGTGTCACGAATAATTCTCTCTAGGTTTTTCTGAGACTGAAGAAGATTTTAAGCCTTCCTGATTTCAACCCAAGCAAGGTCGCCCTGGTCTCCATGGCTTGCTGCTCCATATGCCAGTGGGTCATAGCTCTGAACCACTACCACGAGGTGCGGAAGGTAGGCACCCTCCTCCCTGAAGGAATCCTCCTCTCAGAAGGGGACATCCTCCTCCTCCCTGAAGGAGACACCCTCCTCCCTGAAGGGGACACCCTCCTCCCTGAAGGGGACACCCTCCTCCTCCCTGAAGGGGACACCCTCCTCCTCCCTGAAGGAGACATCCTCCTCCCTGAAGGAATCCTCCTCTCAGAAGGAGACATCCTCCTCTCAGAAGGAATCCTCCTCTCAGAAGCACAGTGTGACCTGGAGGGAAACACTTCAGTCAGATGCATTGTGTGAGCTCACGTATTAGCTCTTCTTAAAAGTTTCCAAGACAGCAAATGCTATATTCTTATTTGTTGTAATATTTTGACCATAATGAACTACTTTATATCCCTTTGTACATATACAGCAACCCTGGAAAGTTCTCTTTAGTAGTTGATACCTACACACATCTCAAAGAAAAGGGGAAATTTTCCTATTTTACTCTTTTGTTAGCATATATGATTAATACAGGTTTCCTTGTGACAGTCTTGTAGATGCCTATAGTATCCTTTGAACAAATACACCCTGCTGTATTTCCTTAGTCTCTCTCCCTCCCTTCCCTTTTTGCAAACAGCATTTGGTGGGTTTTATTGACCCATCTTTGTGTGTGTGTGCGTGTGTGTGTGTGTGTGTGTGCATGCGCGCACATGTGCATGCATGTGCCTCTCCTTTCCCGCTCATTTCCTGCTGATACCCTCCAGACAGTTGCCTTTTTATACTAATGATCATCATCATGATCACATTAGGTCGAGATCCTATATTCGAGTGAAAACATGCAATACTTAGCTTTTTTGAGTTGGCCCTTTTATTTTCAATTACTTTTACTGTTGTTATAGAGGTGATGTACAGAGGGGTGACAGTTACACAAGTCGGGTGCAGAGCACATTTCTTTTGGGACAGTGGCGCCCTTCCCTTTCTCCCTCCCCTCCCCACCCACGGTTATACAGTCCATCTTCTACGAAGTGTCCGGTGAGCACTGCTGCTGCATTTGTTCCCTTTGTCCCTCCGTGTGTGCCTCCTCTTACACTACCAAAGACAGGTAAATGAAAAAGACAAGAGCAAAAAGGAAAAAAGCTCGTTTCCATTTTCTGGAGTTCATTTTGATGTATGTTATTTTATATGAGCAAATGCACATTGGCAATGTGATTTCAATGAATGTTATAAGACCCGATGCACCAGGCATTGTGATTCGGCTTCTTGCTCGATTGCATCTATTTCCATCCATCTTTCTCAAAATGGCATAACTTCATTCTTCTTTGTGGCTAAATGATACTCCACAATGTAAATGTACCACACTTTTATCCATATTGTAGTTGTTGGGCATCTAAGCTGATCCTACGACTTGGCTATACTGAGGTGTTTCTGTAAGCCTGAGTGTCTGGTTTTCATGAAAGGCATGCTTAATCGTCCCCTTGACACGTTCTGTCCTTCTCTTTCAGGTAGTGGGCCCTAAACAAATCCAAGTCGCTGAGGCGCAAAATGTCCTTAGAATTGCAAGGCAAAGACTGGCTGAAAAACAAAAAGGTGTACAGCTGGTAAGAAGTTTTCTTTTTACTTATTAAACTCTCAGTACTTTTATGAACTATACAAAAGCACGGAGAGACAGCGACCGCCTGGGGGGGCTGAGATGCTGGGGGTATTGGAGTTCTTGCCTGAGATGCGAGGCCTGGCACCCTCCAGCACCAGGGAGGAAGAGCCTCACCGCAAAGGAAAGATCAAAAGATCAAGGCAAGACTGAGTAAACAATGCAGATCCACGTGTAAAGCTCCTAGTGCTCGCTGCGTAGTAACACGTACAGTAACGGTAATGATTGTGCAATAGCATTTTAATTTAGCATTTCACCAGATTTCTCTGGGAGAAAGACGTAAGTGGGGACAATGTGTCTTCCTCGCGTGACCTGTTTGTATCAGTTACTCTGCCACCTTGGACAGGCATGGTTCTTTCTGAAATGTCTGATTTTGAGTGGGAGCGTGCGGAGGTCCGCCACACCAGTCCCTGTGCGGCCCTCATCCTGAGCGTGTAGAAGCCAGACCGCGAGCAGGCAGCCAGACCTACCTGCCGCCAGCACCTGCCCTGCCTGGTGCCTTCACATCATCATCAACACCTAGGGGGTTGTGTTTCATTTTAAAATCCAAACCTCTGTCTTCTCAGAACCCAGAAAACCTGGCAACCAAACAATGCTTTTTCACTAGAGCCACGCCTCTACTTCTGGATATTTGCTTGGTTTTTAGAGATAATAGTCTCTCAGACTTGTCTGCCTGGACTGGATCTCAGCTGGGATTACAGGCGTGGCCCTGGCACCTGGCAGAGCCCTACCCTCACTTGGCTGTGATCAGTCCATGGACTGCATACTCCAACATCCACACAGAATTGAGTGTTTGTGAAGGAAGTCAGTGAATTTGGCCTTGGTTCATTTCGCATTGGTATATCATGGTATTTGTTTTACTGTAACTTAGCTGTACAGTTTTGTTTTGATAGGTGCTGGACAGCGAATGTTTGCTGAGCCTCTGCTGTCCTCTGAGTGCCATGCTGGCACTGTATGCACCTTTTCCTCACTTAATCTTCAAAGCAATATTTAGAATTATGAATTTACAAAGGAGAGAACTAAACTTGAAAGCATTTCTTTAAGCGCTCAAGCTGTTGGGGTAACAGTAGACATACTCTGATTCACATCTGTGCAATCTGAAGCCTATGTGGTTAACTATACAGTGTAAAATCTTACAATAGCCAGCAACCAGTGAGGATGCCTTGCCCAGCCCCCACTGCTGAGCTCACAGATGAGGTCTGGGCGGGACAGGCCGGGCCGGCACCCTGTGGCGGGCAGCAGCCAGCCTCCGGGATTTAACACAGTGAATCAGACGCCTCGCCAAGCATACGGCGCCTTCCTCTGCAGCGCTGCAAGGCATCCTGCAGCTCAGTCTGCAACGTTAATCCACAGACACCACAGAGGATGAAGTGTGAAAAACCTCAAAACTGGAAAACTCACTGACACACAGGAAGTAAATCACACATCTTAATGGATCCGAGAAGAAAGCACAGGGAAATTAGCAAATGCACAGAGACAACTGAACAAGGGCAGTGTTCCAGAGAAAACTAAGTTAAAAAGAAGGAAAGGTGCTGCACAGAGGGGTTACAGTCACATAAGTAAGGTAATGGTGCATTTCTCATCCAACAGCATCACCCCTGCCCCGACCCCCCGCATGACCTGACTTATATAACTGTAACCCTCTGTACATCTCCTTTACAAAAACAAACAAGCATTGTGCTCCCCTGCCTGCTGTAACCATCTCTCAGGCAGATAGAGCTTTCCAGAAAAGATAATTTTGCATCTATAAATAGGTGAGCCAAGAAATTAAGTAGTAGTCTCTTCACTTGTACCTTTTCCACTTGATACACACTCCCAGCTTTTACATTGTTTCTGTTTTTAACAAGATGTCTTAGTGAGAACTGTTTAAAACTAAGCTGATAAAATGTTCATGCTGTGTTTGTATCCTGGGGAAAAAAAAAGAAGGAAGATTGCAAATCAGTAACTTGAAGGAACTAGAAAAAGAACAAACTAAATCAAAGCAGGCTAAAAAAAAGAAAGAAATTAGAAAATTAGACTGAGCCAAGCGCTGGTGGCTCACACCTGTCATCCCAGCGACTCAGGAGGCTGAGATCTGAGGATCGCGGTTCAAAGCCAACCCCGGGCGGAAAAGTCCCATGAGACTCTTATCTCCAATTAATCACCAGAAAACCAGAAGTGGCTCAGTGGCTCAAGAGGTAAGAGTGATTGCAATGAGCTAAGGAGCTGATGGACAGCACCCAGGCCCAGCGTTCAAGCCCCATGACCGACCCCCCAAAAAAGGATTAGAAAATTAAAACAGAAAAACAGTATAGAAACTTGGTGAAGCAAAAAATTAAGGGATTGGGGGGTCGGAGTGGGGGAAGGGTTGGGAGGAAAGGGATAGTAGGGAAATACAAAGGAGGAGGCAACAATGCTGGATAAGAAATGTACTCATTGGGGCTGGGAAGGTGGCTCAGTGGTAGAGCGCTTGCCTTGCATGCCTGAGGCCCTGGG